GGCTGGTAGAACCGGCAGAGCTCGGAATGGAACCTTCCAGAAGCCGCTCAGGACCCGGTTGTGCTGGTCGAACAGGTCCAGTCGGGCCCAGCCCCTCGACAAAAGCCGATGGACCTCCTGCCCATAGGCGTTGAAGCCTCCCGCAGCTTGAAGCTCTACCACTAGATTTATAGAGGGGGATGGGTGCACCCTGTGGGAGAGCTGGTGGTGTCATTGAAGGGCTAAACTACAGGAACGCTGACAAAACCGAGGGCAACAACCATGGCGCGGAAAATGGCAACATTGTGTTTGTTAAAGGCTGGACAGTGGCCTGTATTTGAAAGGTTGTCACATATGCTTTAAAATGTTCTTCTATTTAAAAGACCTGGAGGGAAGTTTGAAATCATAAGTACAAAGAGGACCACAGTATTATGCACCCTGGCCTTTTAAAGCTGTAGCTGCCAGTTCTCATTCTACAAACTCTAAACTCCTCAATTTGTAATGTTTGATTACAGTTTTAAAGCTAACCCTATATTGACTATTACCGGGGGGGGGGGGTGTCATGTGTGATGCATTATGTCCCCGTTGGGAATATAATCTTAAACTCAAAGTATCAATAAACAGTGTCTTAACTCTGGGCTGAACAAAATCAAATTGCAGGCAGATTTTGTACAATTGTTGTGACAAAATCCATTGCTTCAATCTGCATTAAAACAATGGAGTGTATGAAGGGTCGGTACGAATAAGCTCTGTGAGGCAGTGTATGTTACCTGGGCACAGGCTGCTTGACAGACAGGGTGGCAATGTTTCCTTGGTGCCCGCCAGTGACATAAGGCAATGCCCCTCCTGCTTCACAGTACACCACTGGCAGGGGCGACGGCCTGCCCATTTTCTGGCCCCCAGAGTAGAGTCCCACAACCAGGCGTGCCATCCGCAGAGTGGGCTCCAGGCCCAGGATGAAGTCATAGAAGATCACAAACCCCGCCCTGCACACAGACAGTACACTGAATCAGGTCCCGCGGCACCAAGACAAAGCACAGATCTCCAGAGTGGACCGCGCAAAAACACAGAAGACTAACAGCCCGACTCCATGGAAATGAGCAGGAAACTTACTCAGGGTCGTATGGTGCTGGGCCCAGGGCTTCAAGGGGGTCCAGGACATGTGTGCCTATCAAGGGGGTCTGAGGCCTCGCTGCTTCCTGAGAGACAGGCAGTGAAGGTATTATAGCCAAAGCTCCTTTTAGACACTAGTTAAGAAATGACCATGACCTCCTGTCAGGGTTTAAAAAAGATCTCTCACTTAGTTAAATTAAGTTTTCCCTTATCTTCACTACACTATACCGTGAAATGTGATTACATTTAGTAAGCTTGCCATTTCTATGGTAGTTCAAGTAGGCAGCTGCGTCAGCATGCGTAGGCTGCAAAGGAACAAGTAAAAAGTTTATTCCATGCTGAAAAGAGAAGAAACACAAAGTTTTGGCTGTGGAGCCTTCTTTGGGTGTCACACTCTTCTCTTTCCAGCATGGAATAAACCTTTTACTTGTTCCTTTGCCATTTCTATAGCCTGTAATCACCGCATGTGCCCAAGGTGTCAATGATGTTGTGAAGAGTTTAAGTCAGTTTATTTCTGCTCAGCTCTCTGCATGGCACTGAAACTGCCCGCTGGTGAGGGGGAAGAGAGGGGCTAACCGTGACCGGGGGTGCAAGGGGGTGCCCGAGTCTCCCAGGGGCACGCAGAGTGGGAGGCAGGAGGAGAGGGGGCGGGGGGGGAGGGGGAGGCGGCCCTCCGCAGCGGGGGGCTCTCTCCAGGTCTCTCCGGAGACTCTCGATCTCCCGCTGCACAGCCGCCACCTGGCGCACGTGCTCTCCCTGCATCTCCAGGAGGGCTGCGCCAGTCGCCTCTGAAACAAACACACACACAGGCACGCCGTCAGAACTGGGCCGGAGCACAGCGTGCGTTCAAGCCCACTTGCTCTCGCGTCTTCAAACCAGTCTGAGGATCTCACCCACCACACTGATAGCAGCCTTCTGTGTTTGCAGAATACAAACTCCATTACTTCCCCCCTCGCTGGCTCCTCAACCCAGGAGTCTCTGTGAGACCGAATGTAAACCACATTGCTCTAGCAAGAATCACATCTCTCCAGGTCCGCTGTTGATGAGCGAGCTATTCATCAAATCTATATTCACACTTTTCTGTTAAAGGAATGTGTTTTTTCACCCTTTTTTTACAAAATGTCTAAGGCCATAATATGTTGGACATTACCCCACCCTAATACATCTGTACAAATGTACAGGCTGTGTATCGTGTCATATTTCATATATATTATCACGGTGCTGACTTTTCCTCCCAAAAACGACTAGAAATTGCTGCTGGCTGAAGACGTAATTCAGCTTCAAGGATAAAAATTTCCTTTTACTGCCTGTTTGAATGTGAATGTGTTCTAATGGAAAATTTAGACCCTAGCAAACAAAATTTGAAGAAAGCAGGATAAATGAGACCAAACACCATCTTTCAGACAATTACTTTATTTAAAAAAATATAGTAGCTCATAGGGTGTTCCTCTAGGCCACCTTGCGACTTATGTACAAGTACTAAGGGGAACAAATCTAAAATCAGACAAAGACGCATGTGTTCGTATGTCGACCATTTTGTTCTGAACGGGTAATGTGTTTCATCACCAATGATTAACAAAATGGAATCATAGTGGTTTAGTTCAGGGCCAGGGACCAAGTCTGAGTGAAGCAGCCCTACCCTCCTCCCCCCGTCTCTCCCGGTTCAGCTGCAGTCTCAGGATCTCCTCCTCCAGACGTTGGTTCTCGCGCTCCACAGCCAGCAGCTCCGAGTCCAGCCCCTGTGGGCGGAATTCCCCTCCTAGGGGAGACACACAGACAGATGCGCTAAGGCTCTGGGCAAGGGGCAGTCTGCCTCCCTGCGCAACTCCCAGGAGCTCACGCCAGACACACAACCTCCCAAAGGAGTGTGTGAGATCAGGTCACGGGGAATACTCACTCCTCTTTTTTTGCCGGTGTTCCGCTTTGGGCCCGGCCCGTTCCAGGGTGTGTGCTTCTGCCTGCAGGTCATGCATCTGGGCCAGAATCGCAGGATCAGCACCACCAGACTGCATATAGGCCAGCCTTAGAGCCCTACCAATCCCAGCACAAACAGAGCAGATGAGACCGCCTGATCCAGCAGGCCTTAAACACAGTTCAGCACAAAAGTGGGACACCCTGCAGTCTTCACTCACGCCTTTGCTCAGGCGTCTGTAAACTGGGTGCAGCTGAACGAAACAGGAAGTCCTCTCATTTAGTATGACAGCTCCTGGGCCAAGAATTTCTCACCTGATCTGAGTGGACAGGGGGCCGTCTCCAGATGCAATGAAATCAAAAGAGATATGCTGGTGCTGTTCCTTCTTGCCTTGTAGAATTATAGGGTTGGTGGTTTCGGCCTGGGGAGGAGCTGCTTTAGTCCTTTGTGAAAGAAATATCGGTAGAAAGTTGTGCAAATGCCTTTCCAAAGGCAAGTTTTTTAAATTGTTCCTGACCCCTTCATGGAAAACAGCTTGTACTTGTGTTTTAATCTTATTTACCTCTCCTTCTCCTCACCTTACTGCACTAGTTCCTTTTCCTTCACAGCCTCTCACACATCCTTTTTTTCTGTTTTGTTCCACCTCTGAGATAATATTTCCTGTATGCTGGAGTTCTCACTGCTTTCCTCTCTCACATCGAGCTCTCCCGTCTCGCCTTTCTTTCCTGCATTACTCTTCACAGTCTGTCCTCTGCTCTTTGCTCTCTCCGGCTCTCCCCTGCCCCTCTCTCACCCCTGCTGGCCGTGCAGTGCTTCGATCTGCTCTCTCAGCTCGTGCAGTGCCCACTCATTCCTCTCCTCCTGGGCTCTCAGCTCCTGAAGCATGCCCTCAATGTGGCCTGCAGCACTGTCCTTGGCTGAGAGCTCAGACAGCCTTTGCTGAATCTCTGGCAGACACAAAACATACAATTACTAACACACAGGAAAGCCAGAAACAAGAGGAGCTCGCTCAACACAGCTTGTGCCCCCTGTAAAAATCCAGAGAGGCACACAGATCTCTTAAAGACACGAGATTGTGTGTTTTAAAGGTTCAGAGATTGAATGATAGAAAGTTTTAGATTTGGTTGCAAGCCCTTCACATTTACACAAACTGCAATATGTTTATGCAACAAAATAAGTATTTAAAAACAGAATTTTGTAAAGTTATTACTTGCTAATGCAGGATTAGCCTTGTTCTTAAATGCAAAAATAATTCAAAGAGGACTGTAATTCACAAGTATGTTTGCATACAAATGTATCCTTCTTTTCTGTTTAAAAGTCCTGGGGTTTATATGCATTTTGTTATATCTATCATTGAACATGTATTTGATTTTTTGATATAATAACTGTGAAATAGAACATTTCCAGTGACCTTAGGAATTTACCAATCATGGCCTCCTAATAATCCCCATCTATGAATTGGCTTCATTACTCTGCTCTCCTCCCACTAATAGCTGATGTGTGGTGAGTGTTCTAGCGCACTATGGCTGCCGTCGCATCATCCAGGTGGGACTGAACATTGGTGGTGGTGGAATGGAGTCCCCATTACCTGTTAAGCGCTTTGAGTTGAGTGTCCAGAAAAGCACTATAGAAGTGCAAGCAATTATTATTAATTATTATTTTTATAATCTGTAGTGCAGCAGAACCATATAGTGTAAAGGAAAATGAAGACTGCTCTCCTCATCATTTCTGTTATTCCTACAACAAACCTGTACCTTCTCTCTGCAGCTCCAGCTCATGGTTCCGGGCCTGGATATCCGCTAGGTGTCGGCCATGTGTCTCTGCCACCTCTCGTACTCGTTCCATGTGTTCCCAGTTCCTCCGTGGGCTCATGCTGGGTCCAGGCTGGGCCCATGTGTTCGCATGATCTCTCTCGGCCCTCTCAGCCCAGGTGGGGAGAGTGGGCATGCTCTCCTCAAGGGACACCCTCAGCCTGTGGAACTGGAGAGTCACAAAGAAGACAACTTTCATTCATCTCACCGGGATTACAAGGGCTCCTGAAAAAAGAAACAACAGAAAGGCTGCCAGCTGCTTTCTGGAAAAAAGCAAAGCAAAGCACTAACCCAAGCATACTGTCAGCCTGTGTTGATATCCCTGAACATCAGACTAAAGCAGTGTTTGTAAAAATCAGCATCTGTACTACTGTGCTGCTTACTGACCTCATGAGTTACCACTGCCACATAATAATAATAATTAGAATAATAATAATAATAATAATAATAATAGTTCTAAACTGAAGTTCTAGTGGGATGAAGACAACCAAGTCACTTTCATGCTAGTTCTTCTCAATGGGATTATAACATAAATTCTAATAGAAATATCTGTATCTCTTTCACAATTCCCCCTG